CAGAGAGAGAGAGAGAGAGAGAGAGAGAGAGAGAGAGAGAGAGAGAGAGAGAGAGAGAGTTTGCTTTTGTATAACAACAAGAAAGTATGTATAATCATTGCTTGGCTGTAAGCAAACATAATAATATGATACTAAAACAGGGAGCAAGCATTGTTTTGCAGTGTGATTTTGTTATTTATTTCGTGTACATAATCATAACATCATAACACGTGTAGACATTTTTCTTGACATTTGCTTTATGTACATATTGGGCTGGGTATACAAAATGAATTATGCAAGTTCTGGAAGAAAGCTATAAAGTACGAAACAAAATATGTTATTGTAGACAAAAACTACGCAGAAGCCCTTTTTAATGACTTCCTTTGATATCAGCACACTATGTAATGATATTGGGGGTATTCTGTCCTATTTGGCATATTCATGTTTTGGCCTTAAGGCTTGAAAAAAGAACCGGCAGGCTGGAGAATAGAAGAAAATAAAGATGGTCGCTCCCATGTGGAAGCTTGTTCCCCTGGTTCCATCCTAAGTATTCCAGAGTGTCTGACTGAATTAATTGAAACTCACCGCCAGACAAAACACACTAGTGCTGGCATCAACATGGATTTGACGACATTTCAAAGGCAACCTATTATCAAATACATTTGCTTATGAAATGGAAATGTCTTAAGGCAAAGCAGGGTGGGAAGGGTACATCAGTAAATGATCAAACACGTTGCGAAAATCAAGGGTAAAAGAGATCTTACAAATTGAAAGAGAACCATGATCAAAAAGTTATATTCTCCAAAAACTTCTCCAAAACATGAAATCCTGATCCGCACTCATCAGCAGTAACCAACTAATATAATGAAATGTGGTTACCTTGAACTTTCCAGGTTGAGGTACAATGGTGTCATTTTTTGTTGTTGTAAAGTCTGATACCCTGGGTGCTATTTATCAGCACTGCAAATATGTTTTGCTTGGTGAATAAGATTTGTATTCTTTTTATACAAGTATTTTTAGTGCATGGGCAAGGGGGGGGGGGATCGCATACACAGCCATACAGCTGTCCTGACAATAATTTAATGTAGTTTTACCTTCTTTTACACTGAGGGCTGGGGACCTTCAAATGTATAACTTCCGAAAGAAAGGCACAATTTAGATCTGTTTAGTTATGGGATGTTTTGATCCTGCTAATCAAAGCTAATCCTGTAGGCAGGATTCGAGCAGAAATACAAAAATAATTTTTTGAAAAAGAACTTTTGGGTTAAAGTCTTTTACGTCAAGAGTGTATCAGAAAAAGGAATAAGTTATCAACGCTGTCCCTGAATTGTTTGATTCTATTTATTGACGATCATAGAACTATTACATGTACGTCAGTTTCCAGAAATCTTTGAGAAGAACAGATAATAATAGAGGCCCTTGTCGTATTATTTTGTGCGATTTCCGCTGTCTATTGGGCAGGGGTAATTCCAGCTGCAATTTTTAATAATTTCTCATACATGGGTACATTTTCTGGTCTTGAAAAGGTAGTCATTTTAGAGTTCTCTGAAATTTTCATCATGGCATTATTCTGTTCTGTGTATGGCACCCACTGCAAATGTTGTGGCACATTTTTCTCTGTGGGGTTTCCGAATATAGCAAAATTGGCCCACATTGTTTGCATCTGTTTTGCAACAGCCTTGTCTGTTTCTGAAGCGAAAATGTGTCCATCCTCAAGGAAAAGCGTTTTGAGTTCTCCAGTATGCACTATCTTCATCCACTTAGGAAGCACGGATATAATAGATACGAGTTCGCTCACTCTATAATCATACTCGTAGAAGTAGTGCTTGTGGTTTGGAGCATATTTTGTCATACTTCTGCTTTCTAACACACCAGGAAGGGCAAACGCGAAGTGTGCTAGAGCATCAACGAGCTGCGATCTAATTACTTTTTTGTCCGTGTGCTGTCCCAAATAAGCGTTTTCTATTGACTTTAAAACAATGGTCTCGAAGTCTTGTGTACTTCCATACGTCTTGAACATTCGAGCAAAATTTTTTGGAAAAGCATCTCGACTTATTCCTTCATCAACGGGATCGAAAATGACAAAAGACCATTCACCAGAATTGTAACCACGAAGTGTGTCGACTTTATTGAATTGTCCAGACTTCAATAGATTGTATGGCAAATCAGGGAGAAAGCCATACGTAGTCTCCACAGTTGGAGTTGCAAGAATGTCGCTGTGAGTGTGCCATCGGATTCGACTGCTTGCTTCCATCATGTGTATAGCGTTTGCTTCACGCAAACAGCCCAGAAGAACCTTCGAACTGTCTGTCCGACAACCAAGTTCCTGGCCCAATAAAGAAGTGTAATTGGATGATTGCAACTTTGTTTTTGCCCTGTATATTGCAAAAGGGCTCAGGGACACACCACTTTCCATAATTGCTCGTTTGAAAAGACCTTTAGACAAAGGTGACAACACATGCAGCGAAACGCCGGCAGACCCCGCGCTTTGCCCGAAAATTGTTACCATCTCAGGGTCTCCTCCGAAAACATGAATGTATTTTTGTACCCATTTCATCGCTAAGACCTGGTCCAGCATTCCGTAATTTCCTGGTATCACATGGTCAGAGTTGGACAAGAATCCGAACAAGCCTAAACGGTATTCTATTAAGACTACTACCACGCCTTGGGAAGCGAGTAAAGAGGCATCAAAAATGTCTTCGCTGCCTCTGTAATAGGCTCCTCCATGGATGAAAAGCATCACGGGAACGGTACCGGTTACATTTGGAGAGAACACGTTCAGAAACAGGCAGTCTTCCGATTCAGGTTTAAGAGGATCTGGTAGCCAGGTCTGTAAACACCTCGGCTTGTCCTCCAGTGCATCTTGGCTTCCGTTCCACCCAGAGCTCGGACGAGGCTCAGCAAATCGGTAGGAGCCTGAAGATAAAGGAATTGTTCAAAATGGATTTCTACAGTTGTTTTCAAAAGGCCCACATTGCCTGTGCAAGCATATTTTTCTACATGATTTTCCGTGATAAACAATAATCACATATATCCGGCACAGTATGAACCTGGGTTTTTCTCTCTCTCTCTCTTTTCTTTACCTTTAACACTCCTGTTTGATCTTAAGCTTTCTGTACGGTAGGAGAGTTTAAAAACAAACCAACCCCCCTCCCCCGAAAAAACCCACATAAAACTAGGCGTTTTCATTTTATTTTCACCTCAACAAACTTTCGTTTATTGACCTTTATGTGATGATAACCGGCCTGCATACTGCATTGAAGCGCGTTCATCTTAGCAGATGAAAATTCCCTCAAAATATGATGTGCGAAGTCAGTATCCAATAAGGGCACAAACGTTCCTACACATTAATAATAAAGAAACCCCGAGGAACAATCTGCACTGAGGTTACTTTTACATGCTTTCCGTTCGTCTCCATAAAATGAATTGAAAAAAATCACACATTATAACTGAAAAGACCAATATTGATAGAATAACGAGGTCACGATTAACTGTAATGCTATCAGTTCATCAACTTTCAGTGACAATTTCAAAGTAAAACTTTAAGATGGATAGCGGCATCCAAACATTTATTGAGACTTAATGTGATAAAAAGTAACCAAAATGTCTAATAATGCCTCTCTTGGAACAAGACTTACCTGCTTCCTTTTTAAGAATTTCTAAATATTTAAAGGATAAGGATATAATAATATGCGCAAAAAATGTTTACAAATTATTGTTTAAAAACAGGAATTTAATCTAGAAAATAGTACTCAAGTACCTGTTGGAGGTTGAGCATAGCGAACTCCCCTGAAGATATTCATCGGCTGTCCAGTGGAAAGAGTGGTCACTTTCCCTCTCAGCCATTGAGTCGGACCTAGTTGTACACTCACGAACTCTGTAGCCCGCACATTACGCAGTGCAAAAGACAGCATTCCTAGGAATGCCAGCGTGGCTCCGGTCAGCGTTGTAGGCAACATATCTATTAACTTGATCCGATATCACAAACCAAAAGGGGAATTGGTAACGTCTCAGCCAAACTTCCTCCAAACGTTTAGACTGCAGACCGAGTAAAGACTTACTATTTTCTTGTCAGATGTCTCAATGCGTGCTCCTCGGCTGCAGATTAATCTTTTGTTCTTGGCTTTGCCAATTATTCTCTCATACATTTGTGTTACGACGCAGTGGAACCAGGCTCTCGTCAATTTTGGGACATGTAGAGTTATTGGCATCACCTTAAAGCTTGGTAATTGTCTTGCTTTGGATTTTAAAAAAGTCCATTTATCTTGAATAAAAGTCGAGATAATTGCGAATGAAGGGGGTGAGGAACACCTGGTTTTGGGGGTTAAATTAGTGGGAAAATGGCCACCAAAGCTGAGTTATTTCCTTAGCTTGAGAGTTCGGGGAAACTGAAAATTTACATTTTTTGTGCCTTTAATCATGGTTTTTCCAGTAAAATCCACACAAAAATGTGTTCTTTATTGGGCATGAAAGGTGTTGAGCAAAAAAAACCCCACGAAAATTCGACAAAAATTCACAAATCTGCGGAAAGATGCCAGTTTCTTCTCTTTGATCATTGTGACGAGCGCCTGATTTCACCATGCTGCCTCACATTTATTATCTCGTTTTCGTGTTGTTCCGTGTACGGAGTTTTCTTTAATCCTAGATTTTTATTTTTATTTTTTGCTTTACAATCAATGGTTGCATCGCCTTTAGTTTAGAACCTTGCACAGCGTGTCACCGTTGTTTATTTTTAGTTTTTTTTCTATTATTTATAGTTGTCCTCCCATTTTACCCTGAACAAAATCTTTTTCGTGATGCTTTGGACTCCGAATTTCCAAGAAACGAAGCAGTAAAAATACGAGTGCGTAGACCTTCACATAAAGAAGAAAGAAAGAAGGAGATGGCAAGAAATGAATAAAGAAAGAAAGAAAATAAGACAGAAAGGAAAGATGGAGGATAGATGCAAAGAACGAAAAATATTTTTAAAAAGAGAGAAAGGAAGAAAGAAAGAAAAAACAAAGAAAGAAATTAAAAGACAGACAGACAGACAGACAGACAGACAGACAGACAGACAGACAGACAGACAAACAGACAGACAGACAGACAGACAGACAGACAGACAGACAGCCTGTCTGAAATTCATAAGTGTACTGCCACTAAATATAAATCTATATAATTATATATCTGATATTTATGATGAAAGTCTTTGTATTAATTTTACCTGAAACCAGCAAGTGCTATTTGCGCACTTTTATTGGACCTAGACAACAGAACAACAGGTTTTTAAATGTAGGTTGTGTGCACTTCTAGCCGTACTTGATCCAAAACGTGATGGCATTTCACGTTTCTGTTGTGTTTTGTAGCAAGACAGGCCTCTGTTAACATTTTATCTTCATTTCTTAAATGTGTGGGCTACCTTTCTAAATATTTTTGAGAGCGGCAAGTACGCTTCTTCGTATAGAGAAAAAATTCCAACCCAAAAAAATAAAGAAAGAAAGAAAAAGATAAGCCAACAGTACAGGCACTAAGCTTGTCACTTGCAATTCACACTTTTTTATGGGTTTGTCGCTTTGCTGCTATAAGGGGATGTTGGCACGTGTTCACAAGCAAAATTAGTAATATTCTGACCGCAGTTCCACTTCTTGCAACAGTCACGTCATTAACCCAAGAAAAGACAGGCGATAATGCTTCGAAAATAGTAATTATGTCGCGACGCTGTTGAATCATGCGCTCGTCAATTTTTGGTCAGATGGCGTTATTGATATAAACGTAAAGCTTGCTTTATTTGTTTTGCTTTTAATGAGAAAAAAAATGTAGATTTATCTTGAATAGAAGTCGAGATATTTGCAATTGAAGGAGGAGGAGGTGTCTGGTGTCAGAGGAAAACTTAGCGTGAAAATGGCTGCCAAAGTTAGGTGATCTCCAAATCTTTACAGACCTCGGAAATGGCAAAATTAAACCTTTTTTCAGTAACATCGACACAGAAATATGTTTTTAAATGGACATTTAAGGTGTTGAACAAACAAAATCTATAAAAATTGCTCAACGGGCAGAAAAATGTCGGTTACTTCAATTTTGTCATTTTGACGAGCGCAGGATTTCTCCACGATGCCACACATTTTTTTTTTCAGCTGCGATTGTTTGATGTTTTCTGAGTCACGCTTAATCAGACATACTCAATGAAAGGGTTGTCATAAGCCCTAGCAATTTAAAGGTCTCAAATACTAGTGACCAATCCACGACAAGTGAGATTTCTTGCCAGCGTTTGCAAAGCTTTAGCTGTTGCTCTCTTGTGGAAAAAAATACGTCGTACGTTTGAAAGATCAAGTAAAGGCGAAGAAATTCATCGTCCTGTTCTGTTTCTCCCGCTCCCGAGGGTGAAGGGTCACCCGATGGGTGTGTGTGTGTGGGGGGGGGGGTAAAGAAAGCGAAAGAAAGTGGGCTTTTCCTCGTGTTGTATTGTTCCTTTAACGGTAGGTCATAGATACTGTTAAATAAAAAAGCGCCACGATTTATAGGAAAATGTTTAACTTCATCGGCTCTCCAGTCAATCTGTTAGTGAGACACATGCTACTAAACTACTACTACTACTACTACTACTACTACTACTACTACTACTACTACTACTACTAATAATAATAATAATAATAATAATAATAATAATAATAATAATAATCGCATTTATATAGCGAATATCCACGCTCTACAGCATGCTCTATGCGCTTTACAACCTTAACGAAGAACTTCGTCTTCAAAAGTGATTCGCGGTGAAGTTTTTAAAATGGCAGTTATATTATTGCACGTCAATAGAAACATCTTTGCAAGGTGCTTGTCATTAACCCCTTCCGTGCTGAGCGGTTTTTTTACCATGTTTGTAAAGAAGAGATAAAATGTTCATTCAGAAAGTATGCGAACAAAGTCATTATATTATATATCTTCTTATTTGGGAATAAAAAACAACACAAGTTGCAGCCGCATTTTGTAACAAGTTCTCTATACAACAGGAGCCAAAAAAAAAAGCTGTGAACCAGTTTGAGAAATCGCAAGCAAATGTATAACAACAGGAAAGTGGTTAATTAAATCGAGTGTTGCGATACTGTGAGGATCGTTCGTTAGAAGACAAAATAATGTGAATGTAAGCCCTGCACGGGCATCTAAAAATCCTGTCTTTGAATCGGATAAATTGCCATAGCATCAATCACACTACCAGTTATATGCTGCAAGACAAAACACATATGCAGCCAAATGAACACCATAAGTATGACAGCAACAACAAGATGTCTTCAATAAGAGAAAGACCTTGTTTGCCCCTGTATGAGAAGAGTCATAAAGCTTCTTACGATTATTTCTTTTTAAAATTGTCATATATAACAAACGTGAAAAGATTGCTCGACCCGATGTAACTAAGAGTACATTCATTGGCGTCGTTGTGGCATGAAAATTATGTGTGATACATTTATGATTGACATTTTGATTCGTCGAGCAGAATTTGTAAGTTGACCTTTTTTCATTTATCTTTGTCTTGCTACCTTCTGAGGTATAAATAATGGTTCTCTGTGGCTTCGCTGATTGCCTTCTTATCTTTCTTTAGTTTTTATACCCTTCTTTTCTTTCTTGAATTCCCCCGCGAGAGTGGGTTCATTTTGTTTTTTTGAAATACCACCAGGATTGCCAGAGATGATGTGCTGCGCATTATATGAAAGATAAAGAGCTCGGAAAAGGCTAAAGGAAACCTCACATGACTTCACAACAGTTCCACTGGCTTGTTGCAATCCCAAAATACCACATCAGTTCCCCGAGGAACAAACGCAACACAGCATGCTGTTGGGCACAATCCGAAATCATTCACAAATCCCTTTGCTACCTATAATTAAGTAAACGTGTGCAGCTAAGCGAAAGGAGGAATAGATCTATCGGCTTAATGAGCTTTTCTTGAGATATGTTCCTACCTGACTGAGCCGAGGGTCGAACACATGATCTCACGATATAGAGGGATGGTGAGATGAGGGTGGGGGGCATTGTTAAATGTGGTGGTATTGTACTGGGCTTTGATACAGATAACCCTGGTTTGAACCCTCAGTGGGATGTAATTGAATTTCGGTTATTTTGGGAACTCACTTCAAGGCGCTCCTTGAACTTGACTCTGTCCTATCGGATATGAAGGTAAAATTTGGTCCAGCATTTTGACCAACTGTGCTGGGTTGAAAGGGGTGTTAAACCAACTGCATATGACACAATAGGATATAGAGTTTGATTCCTTGTACCGTGTGGAAGGAACTGTCGTTTATGGTATTGTTGTATAGTGGTTCAGTACTTTGCTGTTGCACGCAGGAGACCCGAGCTCGATTCCCAAGTGGGGAATTCTTATCGAGTATCTCGGTTTTCCTGCTGGAATCTTGTATCCATTTCACCCCCGGTAGGCCCTGACAGGCAAGATTGGCAGCCTGACTCCCAAAATATCTCAATTGTGTCGATGGAGGCGTTAAAACACCTACATTTTAAAACATTAATAACAGACCAACAGTAATAAATCACCGGAAATAAAAGAGCAAAACAAGTTTCAACCGTGAGACAAGCGCAAACTTCACAATTTCAACATCTTAATAAAATATTACCAACTTGTATGCTTTGACTTGGCTGCGGGTCAATAGTCTGGCATACTAATTATTACTGCTTTTCTGTATATTTATAACCGGTTCATACTCGAGATAATCCTGAACTCAATTCTTTCTTGGCACATTTCTCAATTAAAAGGGACACTCCGTTATCTCAGTTTGTATCAAGCTGGACTACGGAACGGATAGCTCTGGTTGAAATTCCCCAATACGGCGTTCTTGAACTCAAGTCGTTTTGTGGAGTTTTCAACAACTCCCACCCCACTTGCCTAGGTTCTATCGGAGATGGACTTAAATTCGGTGGTCGTGCCTCTTAAATAACCAAACTTTGTTTAAAGGGGCGTTGAAACTCTTACCCTTACTTACTTTTACTTAGACGAAAGACTGGCCTCGCTTTGAGTTGGCGGATGTCTTTGTAGCACAGCTTCCAATTAAGTTGCATCTCTATCATTCACTAAAATATTGTCACCTTCTATTGACTAGTACCCAT